TAGGAACCAATCTGGTAGATCACTTCTACACTGGGCTTTGGAGATCAATTCCGTTGTACCCGGGACAATTGGGCGCCAGCCTCGAACCCGAGTGTCACTTCAAGACTTCAAGACTACCCCTAATGGACGCTGGGATCGTTACCCCAAGGATCAGCTCGGAAGGCAAAGCGAGCGAAGTGGAATTATCTTCCAAAATTTCCGGCACTGCTGTGAGTCTCCCTTCCTTGTGCCATTAGTTCGTTCACGATGTTGAATGGTTTACGAATTTTCCTTCCAAACATTGCCTCTGCCGGAGACGCACTGTTCGGGTCATTGGGATTTGGTGTGCCCCTGTAGTTTAGCAGAACATTTTACCGTGGTCCCCTCCCCTTTGAATTTCTGAAGTGCTCGTTTGAAGGCGTCCACGAAGCGTTCGGCTTGCCCGTTTAACTGAGTGATAAGGTGGCCCACAGACGTGCTTTATTCCAGGTCGTTCATAGAACACAGAGAAAACAGCTGATGTAAATTGACCGCCATTGTCACTCACCAGCGTCTCTGGAGATCCAAACCTGCTGAACAGGCCACGGAGGACATTGGTGGTGGCTCCGGTGGTTGCACGTTCCATTAGGAATATTTCTGGCCATTTTGTGTAGGCGTCGACCGCAAAGAGGAAATGGTATCTTTTAAGCGGTCTGGCATGAACCCGTGATCATGGGGTTACCAGTTTCAGCCACTGTTGGCGATTGGTCTTGACTGGTGCCTTGGCCGCTTGGGCACATTTAAAGCAGGAGCATCCAAACTCTTCGATGTACTGGTCCATATTCGGCCAATAGACGTAGCTGCGGGCGAGGACCTTAATGTGGTTGATCCCTGGGTGGCCGGCGTGAAATTGTCGTAGAACTGTTGTAGTGTCTGTGGGATGACGACGCGTTCGGAGAACAGGATGCAATCGTCCACCATTGATATAGATTCTTGACGGCGATAAAACTGTTGTAGGGCTCCGGACATGCGCGTTGGTGAATGTGTGTGATGACAATGAGTGACTTGTTGCAAAATAGGATCCTGTCTGGTTGCCCGTTGTACTTCAGTAAAAGTGACAAGTAGTGCTCGTATTGTGTCCGTCATTCGGATTTGCATATCTGATTCCACCGACACACATAATGACCGTGTCTTCCGCCTGTTGACCACGAGGCGTGAAAGAGCATCTACCTGACCAATTTTCGTCCTGAATCGGAACCCTATTTCGAAATCGTATCCCAGTCGGTTAACTGAGTAAACTTGAATACCTTTCAAACAGGGTTTGTTTTTAGGGTAACACGTCCCTCTGATCTGCAGGCAGTTGAACGAAACGTCACAATTAAGCTCACTGTTGAGACGTAGTAGTCCGCTGGATAAGTTCAGTACTTTCTTGTTGGTCAGATTGAATGGGGGTCGCCCGAATGCGTGCTAAGTTCGTTTTGAGATCAATGTGATGTCAGAAGCGATCTCTATCCGCAGGCGCACTGGTTCACCATTGATGCGGATAGTGAGGTATTGGCGCCTTCTCTCCATTTCAGTTTCGACATCAGACAATGGATTGACTTTTGGATTCAAACGCTGATTTGAATCGTCTTGATTCCTTTATTGTAGAAGGGTGTTTGGTTTGATAAAAGTCTTCTCTGTGCCCTTGTTTGCGGCATTTTTGACACGCATGTTTCTTGAAGAGACAGTAACGAGCGCAATGCCATTCTCCGCATTTCCAGTATGCTGCGGGGGGTCTCCTGGTAGCGGCTTCTTGCGGTTTTCGGGTAGACGTTGACCGTGACTTTGTGACAGCATGGACATTGGATGAGGCTGTAGCCAGGCCGCGTTGCTCAACGTTGGCTGAGTCATGTTTGAGGTTCTCCAACTGCCGGCATTCATCTGTCAATGTCCGCAAATTGATACTAGGGTCTTGTTCGATACGATTTAGTAAGCGAGTGCGGATTTCGGCGTCGCGGGGAGACTGAAGTGCGCACATGAATATCAGGCATTTGAATTAACCGTCAGTCATTGAGCGCAGCTTGAATTGCTCCCATTTCTGGTTCACAATGCTGGTTAGTGTCAGGTAGTCATCTGTATCGTTTTTCATCAACTTGAGGCAGTGATACCGGATACTGAACAAAGACGCCTTTTCATCAAATGTGCAATGAGGTGTAGACAGCGGTATTCGAGCATCGATAATCTATTTTTATCCTGTTCCCTTAACGACCAAGTCTCTGCACCGTAGAGCAGGACTGGTCGAACTGCTGCAGCATATACTCGACTCTTCACAGACAGCCGGATGTCGCGACGGCGCCACAAATGTCTCAAGTTGGCAAATGCCAATCGAGCCTTTTGTATGCGCGCCGACGCTTCATCTGTGGTGCATCCACCAGGTGAAATACAGCTGCCCAGATAGCAAAACTTGTCTACTCGCTCTACTACTTCCCCGATCAAGATGGTGGACCAACCCAATCTTCGGGCAGCATTTTGCACTTTCAAAGTGCAAAATGCATACCGAACATGGCTATACAAGCACTCAAACTATCCAGGAAAGCTTGCAACTTACCTAGATCTTCACTGAGTGGCACAATGTCGTCTGCATACTCTGGATCAGACACCTGGGAGTAAATCGATCCCACTATCCTCGCACCGGGATAAGGCTGTTTCCATGATCAAATCTATCATCAAGTAAAATAGAAAAGGAGAGAGCAACCCTGACGCATACCACTTTCCGTGATGAATTTAGGCAAAAAGTGCCGTATGCTCGGACTCGACTTCGGTTATCAGCATAAAAGGATTGTAATATTTAAATGCGATGGAAATGTTTGCGATAGTCGACAAAGAACACTGCACAGCTGTTTCGTCCTGTTTGGGACTCGTCAGCAGTCCGCACTGTTTGCGTCCCTGTCGGGACTCGAACCTCGAACGTTCAGGTTGGGACTTCAAACCCCCTGAGATACACGGTTGACGGTCATCACCTTGTGCGAATGGCTCAATTTTTAGAGTAGCAAGCTTGGATTAACCCATTGGTTTGTAAAGAGGCACCAAGCACTCTTGGGTGAGGGTTTTACTCCTTAGGAGATCGTTGATTCCCCACAATTTCATGCATTTACATGTGATGGAAACAGGACGAAACAGCTGTGCAGTTCTCTTTGTCGGTTATCGCAAACATTTCCATCGCATGTAAATATTACAAGCCTTTTATGCTAATAGCCGAAGTCGAGTCCGAGCATACGGCACTTTTCGCCGAAATTCACCACGGAAAGTGACTGACATCTATTCTGGGCCATATCTCTCAGTGTCTCTAGCTATCTGCAATCCTCATCCCTTGGGCCCCAGCCTGGAAGGCGAGCTGCACCAACCAAAGCCAATGCTGTGGCTAACTTCTTCATACCTCTACGCCATGTCATGGTCTGACCGCCTCAGCGCTTCTTCCAGCCTTGCCCGGCACGTGCAAATGGAGCAAATGGAGGAGGTAGTCGGTGGGCAGGCATACGTAAAACATGACCGAGCCATCGGAGGCGGTGTAGAACGATTTCTTCCGTTAGCGAACGACTATCAGTACGCAGCACACGATGAGGAGTTTCGTCATTGGTCACCCGATGTTCCCACCATACACGAGAAATGCTTCGAATATGGAGATCCGATTTGCATCCTCCGCTCGGACAGGCTAGGTCTCGCGGTTGTAAAGCAAAACACTACGGACCGTGACGATGTACACCCTTCCCTTGAGGGACAGTCGGATGTCACGGCGGCGCCATAGGTGTCACAGGTCGACGGAAGCTGCTATAGCTTTTGCTATTTGTGAAGTGATCTCCTCCACAACACCATCTCTAGCTGTGATTAAGCTCTCGAGGTACTTCAAGCTCTCGACCATTTCCAGCTGATCACCACAGGGTGAGTGCAGGCACAGGCTTCTGCCAGTCTTGAAGAAACACTGCACTTGGAAGGTGCAAAACACACAACATCTGAATACCTCGACCGCCAAGCGGTTCAAAGCGTGTTGGACTGCCTGTGTGTTGTCACCCAGCAAGGCGATGTCATCGGCATATTCTAAGTCCCACACTGAGCCCAAGAGCTTTGTTGACTCCGAGACCAAGGCTGAACCTCCATCCTTAAAAGCCGAATGGGACAGCCCGTCTGGGCCGGAGGTCTTATGCCTTTTGAGATAGCTTATTTCCCGGGAAGCCTCCATTTCAGATGGAGGACTGGCATCAACTGGGAGTATTTGCCCANTGGCTTGCGCGCCTCAATGACCCTGCGAGCTATACAGGATGGCTCCTCAGCTGCAGATCCTATCATGCCTGAAAGGTCGAGGGGTAGAGGCCAGACGTAGCTCAGTCTTACAAAGCCAACTGCTTGGGCACCTTCTGGTTTTCTTTTCTATTCACACCCACTCCTGAAGAGTTCACCCCAGCAAATCAACACGGTGAGGGGCAGTTTACCGGTCAAAATCCCCCGCTAGATGGACGTAGGAGCGGTTGTCGGTGGCTTTCTTGCGGTTGTTTACCAGGCGTAAGGTGAATTTCGCTCGTAGCAAAGCGTAATCCGTATCAGCAGGTGTGGACCAGTAAGAACGGTAGTCTTGAATCAACCCTCATCGGTAACTGATGGTGGTGGTCGATCTGGATCCAGCGCAGTGAAGAGGTTGGCGGTTTCTATGTAAGTCGGTGTCGTTTTTTTGGCGAGAAGTTCGTGTTCGATAGGAACAATCCGTGGTCCGCGCAGAGTTGAAGTAGGCAATTTCTGTTGTCTGTTCGGTTGGCTGGAATTGCATGCGGCCGCTAAGAAGCCTTTCTTATTCTTCCAGGGATCCCACTTGAAGTCTCCGGCGACTACTACGATGTCGGGCAATCGAACACGAGTAATTGAGAAAGATCCTTGTAGAATTCATCTTTGATTTTTGGCGAACTGCAATCGGTCGGTGCATACACCGATATGACGAATAAGCATCGTCGCTTTGTTCTGTGGCTGTTGATCCGTGCTGAACCGTTGAGACATACAGCGCACAGCGGAATCGCCTGTGAAGCGTGAGATCGAGGTTGGGTTAGGAGAATGCAGGGAGAAGTAGGAAGTAGGGTCTTGTATGTGTGTTTTGGAGACAGCATACATTTAAATTAAAAGTTTCCAGAGTTCTAGCCTAAGCAGCTTGTTGACCAATCTGATAGTGTGCGGACATTAAACGCGGCCAAGTAAAAAAAGCTGTGGCTTCGAAAATCTCGTAACTTCTGATTTTTTGGCCTTGCTGATAAAACGCTGAGTGATATTCGATGGGTGGCGTAAGCAGGAGACGTCTTTGATTATTCGGGATTGAGAGGAAGAACCAGATACATCGAAAAGAGGTTTCTCGAATGGGTTCCTAAGGCTCTAGGACATGACATACTTCGCGGTAGCCCACCGAAGAAGGGGATTTTCTTTGTGAACCCCAGTCGAATCCTTTGATTCGAGAGTCTGACCCGCAAAATAGCGGGAATTCGTAGGTTTTTCTTTGGGAACCCTAACCAAAGGTCTGACCCACAAGGCAGTGGGGCGTAAATCCAACGTGGGAGCGTGAACGAAGCACCCGTGTGGTAGCTTCTTTCGACCTGTCACGCAAGGCCTTAGAATTTCGGTTCATTGTGTGGTTCGCTGGTGCGTTGATTGTCGGTCCGCTTTTCGGGATCCTCCCTTAGCCTCATGCACCCAATGAGACAAGCGGAGCGTGGACAGGATAGCACCTTATTGGCTGGGGGCTGCCCAGTTTGGGCGGGCTGTAGCTGTCCAATAAAGTGCGAAGACTTCTCCCACCGTCGATAGGAAGCCCCAGGTACGCCGCTCCTACGTCCATCTAGCGGGGGATTTTGACCGGTAAACTGTCCCTCACCGTGTTGATTTGCTGGAGTGAACTCTTCAGGAATGGGTGTGGATAGAGAAGGAAGCCAGGTGCCCAAACAGCTGGCTTTGTGAGTCTGAGCCTTGTCTGGTGTTCAGGTGTGATTGGATCTACGGCTATGGAAAGCCATCCTGTTTGATTCACACGGTCATGGAGGCACGCAAGCTATCACATCCGGTCAAGGTGCATTCTCATCGTGATGGTCGAGTGAATCACTGATTGTTCCATTCTTTAAAAGAAGATCTAGGAACGACTGCGCAAACCACCACTACTGACACCGTTTAGGCAGACGGATGTCATCATCATCATCATCATCATCATTATCGTACAGCGAAATACCGTGAAGCGAACTTCATTGCCCGCTGCCAAACTCACAATGCATACAAGGTTAGTGGTAAAATTTAAGGTGGAAGGGAGGAGGAAGGGAGAAGAAGATGAGCCATTATGGTCAACACACGGTACGCAATCGAACTCTGCATACATACCGTTTCAAGCATTCTGACCTGATGAGAAACGACAACAAGAACGCCACTGCTGCCGGTTCGCTGCCATATCCTTCAGTGTCGCCAACCAACCAGTTGTGGAGTCTTTCGGACCCCAACCTGGAAGGCGATAGACACCTACTCTACCTAATAGCTCTGTGCATTTNNNTGGCTGGGCATACGCAATACGTGCCCTAGCCACCGAAGCCTAGTAATCTGAATTCGGTATGCTAGCAGGTTTAAGCCTGACAGACTCCCAAACACACGACGGCTTACCTCCACGTTACTAGCCCGTTCGCTCCATCCAACATGGGCTAAACTGCGTAAACACCGATAATCGAAAACTTCTAGTCGACGGATATCTTCTACTCGCAAATTCAGGGTCTCAAAACCATAAAGCAGGACTGAACGAACGCTAGCACAATATACAGAACCTTTTAACTTCAGTTAAACGCCGCGTCTACGCCAAAGGTGTTTCAGTCCTGGGTGTGCTGCTCGAGCCTTG